ATCACAACCAAAATATATCACTAATTTCAGTGGCTTGGTGTATTTTTAAAGTTAAGGTACATTTGACTTATTTTGACTCAAAGGTATAGGTCACTTTTGTGTCAGAGGTGGCTTCTATTAATTATAAAAAGGAAGCATATCCTATTTTGTATCAAATGATTCATTAAAAGTGAGCAGAAAATAAAATTCGGTGAAAGTTTCACTCGGAAACTCCTTCATTCTCCTCGACGAATTTGTCACTCACACTATGGCGCAGAAGCTCGCGCCTTCTACTCTTGTAAGTCTATATCTGAGAGGCTCTGGAGACAAACGGGCAAAACAAACCAATGAAGGGGCAACGTAATCCATGACGTCAATAATTGGACCAATGCAGCGCGTCGGGGGGCGGGACTCCGCGTCTGCATTTGGACGGAGCCCGTTCAGTGTGTGGCAGTTAGACTAGCAGAGGCGGTTGCTATGTGTTAGGTTCTGAAATCCGAGACAACTGATGCAGGCTGAGCTCTGCTTTGTTGCATCCAGATGGTTCAAGCCGTCCGCGGAGGACTCGTTTTGATTTTGTTGCACCGTGTCTACGTGCCGCCGCGTTTGCGACGATGCATCAGACAGAATCTGCGCAGGGATGCTGAACACGAGCAAACAGGGCGTCTGTTACAATGAAGAAGACGGCAGCGGTTCCTTCCTGTGTTGTTGCGGATCGTTGCAGCGCTCGGTATGGACAACCTGAACGCCTCCATCAGCATCACCAACCACCGCCGCTCCTATGAGGAACATTGCGCAGTGCAGTGAGCGCCGTGAATCGGGTTTTTGGAATATATATTACCTAATCATCTGGAAAATAAATTCCCAGCACACACATTACAGAGCGCGCCTTGGTGCATTACTGTCAATGTAAAGAGCTCTGTCCAGTGGTGGGAGCCACTCTTCTCCAGGGGTTACAGATGAGAGGCAAACAATACCATCAACCACTGAAGTTGACAGCGCCTTGGGAGAAGGATGCTGGCTTTGGGAGAAAGCTTAAAACCTACAGGAATCATACCAAGATAATAGCACAGCCCGGGATCGTGATGAAAGTGCTGCGCAGGAAGAGGATTGTGTTATTCATGGCCTATCTCCTGCTGCTGGTGCTCACCATGCTCAATTTGGCCAATTATAAATGGACCAAGGAGCCTCAGCAGTGCAACCATCAGATGAGGAGCACCACCTATCAGAGCAGATCGGACATTCGTTTTCTCTACAGGCCCTCCCTGGCCAAGAAGAGACAGCTCATCTACGTCCTGACCACCTGGAGGTCGGGCTCCTCCTTCTTTGGTGAGCTTTTCAACCAAAACCCACAAGTGTTCTTCTTGTATGAGCCGATGTGGCACATCTGGCAGAAGCTGTACCCTGGTGATGCAGTGTCTCTGCAGGGGGCGGCCAGAGACATGTTGAGCTCCTTGTATCGCTGCGACCTGTCCGTTTTCCAACTTTATAACAGCCCTGGAGGCAAAAACTTTACCTCCTTAGGGCTGTTTGGGGCCACGCTGAACAAGGTTGTGTGCTCCTACCCCCTGTGCTCAGCCTACAGGAAGGAGGTGGTGGGGATGGTGGATGATAAGGTGTGCAAAAAATGTCCCCCTCAGAGCCTTAGACTGTTAGAGGAGGAGTGCCTAAAGTACAACACTATAGTCATTAAAGGGGTGCGTATTTTGGATGTAAACGTTCTCGCCCCTCTGATGGAGGACCCATCCTTGGATCTGAAAGTGATCCATTTGGTTAGAGACCCTCGGGCAGTGGCGAACTCAAGGATCAAATCCAGACATGGCCTGATTAGGGAGAACTTACAGGTGGTCCGCAGCAGGGACCCTAAACTGCGCCGGATACCTTTCGTAGATCCCGGCCACAAGGCCAACAAGAAGGACGGTTCCGACTACCACTCCATCGGAGCCATGGAGGTGATCTGCGACCGCACCTCCAGGACTCTGAGGACTGCCTTAAACCCACCGGGTTGGCTGAAGGGGAAGTACATGGCCGTGCGGTATGAGGATCTGGTGGAGAACCCCGTCAAGAGCCTGAGGAGCGTTTACCGCTTCGTCAACCTCACCACCAACCATGACATTGAGTCGTTTGCGCTGAACATGACCAGCGGCTCCAGCTCCTCCTCCAAGCCCTTCATCGTCTCCTCCCGGAACGCCACGCAGGCAGCCAGCGCTTGGAGAATGGTGCTCAGCATCCAGCAGATCAAGCAGGTGGAAGACTACTGCCACCACTCCATGTCCGTGCTGGGGTACGAGAGGGTGAGAACAGCCGGGGAGGCCAAGGATTTGAGCAAATCGCTGCTGACACGCTCCAAACTGTGAAGAAAATTGTAAACGCATCCTCCTCACCACCAAAGACCTTTTTAATTTAATGCTCATTTTTCCATGCAGTGCCGTTTCCTCTTATTGTGGAATTAAAGCTTTACGTTCAAGTGTTTAAAGGAGGATTCGGCTGGTTACATTTGGAATGTACATCTTGTTTTCGAGCTGCGGTTTGTATCTGGGGGGGGTCACTTCTTTTATACAAGAACACCGGCTGTGGGACAATGACTTAAGAGAGGAAACAAAAGGATAATTTATGTATCTTGGTATTATTATAACACTTCAAAGTTGATGTTTTTGAGGTTATTTTTGAATGTTTGAAATCTTTAAAAATATATTATTTTTCACTCCACACTGTCTGTACAAGTGAAAAGAAAAACTAGTAGATGAAAGGAAAAAAAAAAATCACTTTTATTTTTAATACCCTGTTAAAGTCAGAGACAATCAGTGATTTGGTTTGATGATGTGCCATAGTTAGAAGTCTCTTCAGAACAGCAGTAGTACTTTATATAGTTTTTTTTAATTTAATTTAATTTTTTAACTGTCATTTCATTTTGTCACAACGTCCTTGTAGGACGATGACGTGCACTGTGGACTTTTGGTCATAACTGGAGCAGGACGACCTCTCTTTGTGTCAGTGTGAGCATTCTGTTGTTCTGCCATCTTCAAATGTTTACAATTGCTTGCTCTTATGAAAACACCTGATCTAAAAAAAAAAAAATATTGCATTGAGTAAAGTTCACAGTATACGAATTTATGCATCGTTTCTGAGTGGAACATTTTCAAACTGAAGAAATAATTCAGTCTTATTTTGCTTGTGTCTCGAATTTGAAATGAGTTGGTGCTTCGAAAAATAATTTGCCTCCAACAGAGTTTCTGGTTTTCACTTTTTTTTGACACTTATATGTTACAAGGTAAAATGAGCAAATACAACATGCGCTGTTTTAAATGATGATTTATTTGGGGGAAAAGCAGTTAGAACCAACCAAACCATACATGTATATATACTGTATATCTATATATCTATCTAATCTATCTATATATATAGATATATCTATATATTTGTATATGTACGATGTATTTATTTATAACAATTTGGCCAAGTCCTGACTCAACAGGCTCTCACATTACTCGGACCCTGTTTGACTGTTGGTATTGTTCTCTGAAATGCTATTTTAGTTTCACAGGAGGCTAAACTGGATACACAAAAGTTAGGATATTTATTTTCATAAGTGCATAAAACCTGATCTCTGAAGTATCATAGAGTAGTCAAGATGTTGGTCATGAACAATGATCTTAACTGAGGCAAGCTGTCCCTGCGGTGCAGTATTTACTCAGGTTATCTTTGTTTGATATTGAAATTACTTTCATGATCCGAAAAAACAGAAGTGAAATAAATTTGTAAGGAAGGACAGTTTTTTCAACACACTGCGTTTCTGCAAGCGATAGCGATTCATGACATCACAATGTCATGAATTTGTTGCCAATGGCTACAAATCCTTGGGGTGCCCTGTGACGTTTGGTAAATATACTCTTTATTTACGCTCAACATTAATTAAAATGGAGTGTATACAACTCTTAGGCCTAAACAAGTTTGAAAAGTGATGTTTTAAAAATATTTCCCCTTGAAAAATTCCTATGATCCTTATTTATACATCCAGAGTTTTATTTTGGGGAGTTAAGTAGTGCAGGCGCTTTAATATTTAACAAACCCATATATTTTTTATCTGCAGAACCCTTTTGACTTATTCTGAATCCCTTTTTACCTTCTTCAACACACACAAATAGCTGCTGGATTATGACCTAGCAACCCAGTTTTATTAATTTGGTTCTGCATGAAACATATGGATGGATTAAAAGATCTACATGCCTTGTCAAAATGCTAAATTACTTTTCCAGATTATGTCACAGTTATCCAGTACAATTCAAACTAAACCCTTAGCGGAGAACAATCTAGAGAATAAAAGTATGTTGGTTGTGTAATTATGCACAAACTAATACTTAATTGAAACTCATTTTGATTCATTTCAAGAATTCAGCCATCTTTGTTGAGTCTCTTAACATCCTGCATCTTTCACTTCCATAATATTTCAAAGGGGAAACATAAATGCTGTTTTGTGCCCTTCTCGAATTGTGTCCAAATGAATAAATTATGGTTTCATGTCAGCATAACGCATTCTTTCACAAGATGTTGAGCAGTTTTAACAGTTCATCAATTGTTTTAAACTTCTATCTTTAGACCTGACATTTCAGTCCAGTGTAGTCGTTAGTTGGCGTTATTTAAAAGTCGTTGTAGGGTATTGCTTTCCAAGATTAGACAAAATGCGTTTTTGTCTCAGGAAAAACACATTTTTGGGTCTGGTTACTTTGCACCTACTCAGGAACCCCCGATGGAGCTTATTCCTTAGTGTAAATGAGTAAAATGTAGAGTTGGATCCAGTGTAGAGTTGGATTTGGCTTTTGTCTGTCTTTGTAAGCACACTCCTGCGAAAATGCAGATGTGGCTTGATAAGATACATGACTGAGTTCATATAAATAGCCAAAGCAGAGCGGATGAAATGTTTTTCTACATCGGAAGTGTTTGCCTGATAAGTTCATATCTGCATGAAGAAGTAGAAGTAAAGTAACGGTTGCAAAGAAAAGGCTCTCAGGAAAGTTTATGAATATCGTTTTGACAGACATATCAACTTTCTTTATCAGACGATAAAGAAAAAAAGGGGAAAAATCTAAACAGGGCAGTAAGTTTTTATTATTTACTTCTCATTCGCATCTTTCACACTGTTGGACATGATCAGTGCTTGTAGCTCAGCTTCAGGCTGTCTGCAGAACCAAGTGTGACATTTAACCCATGCATGCCTGGGCATCACGTCAAAAGCAAAAACACAGGGCAAAGACACCTAAAAACACCCCTCCTTTACTTTAAAAACACAATTAAAAAAAAAAGTTAAGTAAAAAAAACAGCCTATTAAAACTTTATTTACAGATTTATAAATCAGATCACCTAGAGCTTGGTTTTGAAGTTAAATTAAAAAGGGAAAAGTCAAATTGTAAAAATTCTGTATGCAAAAGGTTATATGCTCCAAGCATTTATAAAATAATCTTTTTTGTTACTTTAAAAGTTCATATTTTTCTAGCAACAGCCCAGTCAGAAGTATTCCCCACAATGTTTTAAACATTTCTGTTTTATTGGTCATCTTCTCCTATTGGTTTGAAATTAGATTTCTCACAAATATGGTGTTACAGAAAATACACATTTTTAAACAACTATATGTAAAGGCTTGCAATATATCACTATTTGTGGACGAAAGCTATATGAGTTTCACCTTTTAAAAATCCTATTCTAATTTATTCAATCAATAAATTGACTGAAGTCAACCAGTCAGATTTTCCATACATTTTTTTAAACACATAGTGGTCTATTGTGAATTACAAAAGAAGAAGTATGCAAACTATCATTACAACAATAAATGGAAAAAAAAAACAAGTAAATAAAATAAAAAAGTAACTGCTCGAATACAAACAAAATGTGCAATTGAGGGAACCTAAGATACAAACATAAACAAATGATCTAAGAAAAATAGAAGCCAAATAAAAACATTGCATTCATAAAACGTACTTCAAGCACAAGACAAATTTGAGATAAACCTGTTTTGCTCATTTTAAATCCACTTTTAGGAAAATGATGACATGATTGCTCTTACAGAAAACTACAGAAAATGGTATAACCTACAACCTACAGAGAAAAATGGTGGCATTCATAAAATAAAGGAATTGTTGTTTCTTAGGTTTTGGGATTTAGCTCTAAAATCAGGTCCTTGTGTTTGATCAACTTCCTCTTCCTGTAAATAAATTGATTGGTAACTACTAGATCAGTGAGGAGAAGAAAACCCATCGGTAAAACCTTTGTAGTTCATAAGATTGAATGACAAAATTAGGAAGTTACAAAACTGACATGACTTTGTTTAAATTACTGTTTAAACAAAGACTTTGTTTAAACTACTGTGGCATTATTTTATGAATGCCACCATGTTTCTCTGTCGTTTATGCCGTTTTCTGTATTTTTCTGTACAATCTTGTTATTGTTATTGTCCTAAAAGTGGATTTAAAATGAGCAAAACTACTGTTTAAACAAAGCACTGTGAAGGCATTGTGTCAGCAAATCAAACTATATTTAGTTAGTTTTAGAAAACAGCTCTTAAGGATTTTAGTCTGGAGACTTGTGATCAAAGGCTGTTGTTCTCAGCTCTTTAATCGGAGTGTAACTCTTATCAAGTTTGCCATCAGGCTTACATGGTAAACATTTTCAGCAAGCAACAGCTGAAAGACCCCCATTCCACAGATGTGCCCATGCATTTGTTGCATAAATAGAAGAGAGATCATTTCAAGGGCAGTGGGTGTATTACTCAAAGCCTAACCTACAGCAAACTGCACCCTGATTCACTCCAGGGGAATTAAAGTGGGACAACCCAGAGATTTATGAGTCAAAAAGGAAACAATGTGCATTCTATAATAAGAACCAGAACTGTTATGTTAACAGAATGCTCTTGGATGATAAGGAGGACATGGAGGAAAATGAGTAGGGGAATTTGAAATAGCTAAAAGGGCAAAATGTAATGAAAGCTTAATCAGGAGATGGGCAGAAAAGAGGAGCAGAACTGAAATAACATCCTGGGTCTGGTGATTTGAAGAAAAACAGTGGCATTCAATCACTGTGTATGCTGGTGAGGAAGTTCCCACTTTATGAAACTTCATCTTTTTTTATTTTCAAAATTTTTTACAGGTGCACCTTAATAATTTACACTATCTCTGTCCAGTTAATGTAACCAATTTCATTCACCAGTGGTAACAACATATATCTCAAGCATTTGTCGCTGTTAATTTAAATGAAAATGGTGCATAGCGAAAGCGAATCTAAACTCAGTTTCTTGAAATGGGTATTATTACACAGATCAATGAACGAGACCTTTATTTGTCCAATAGTCACTGGGACTCTTCACAAGGAGCTTAAGCCAAAAACTGTGCTTAAGCACCTCTCCATTCACAGTGTTATGTCCAAGGCAGTCATATTTAATAGATTTTTATAATACTGAAAATTTCATTTATTTCAGTAACTTAGTTCATTAGATAAAAAGATTAAAGAAGTTCCTACCTTTAAGATTAGAAGACTAGAATATTAGTTTGAATACAGAAATTTTCAATAAAAACTACATTTAATACCTGCACAAAGGTTGTTACTTTCAAAAATTACTTTGAAACAAGCTTCACTTGTTTGTCAGACATATTCTAATGCACTGAACATGACTGCATACTAACGGAAAACTTAGTGCAAAACTCATACTGGAGCTCAACCAATTTGGATTCTGCTCCTCCTCGCTCTTCATCCAGACTCAGAGAATCGACAGTATCCCCCACGAGCATGGCCTCTCAGTTAAAACAATATATACCTCTTTTAATTTCTTGTGATATTCCTCTGTGTAATAAATCTATGTCTGAGGTTCACTTTTTGAGATGAAATAAATTGACTTTTTGATGACATTCTAATTTACACACATGCTCCTGCAGATGAAAATAAATTTGAAACAAAACAGGACAATATGTCTCCAGGAGAGAAACAGGAAGAATGCCAGCATTCACTAATTGTCTCTTCCTTCCAGCGTGAGTGTGTTTTTGCACACGACTCAGCACATGAGGGTTGTGTGACCTTATGCGAGTCACAGGAACAAACTCCCTCTCGGTGGCTTTGAAATACACAGACCTTGGTCCCTGCGCTCTGTGGGAGGTGGAGGTTAGCATTAAAGCAACAGAGGGGAATAATAAAGCAAAGTTACTCTTCAATTCTCTCTTCAATGACGTGAGCTGCTCCGGTGCCAAGGCCCAAATCTCCCTCCAGCAGGTCCTCTTGCTGCTCTGACCCAGAGTCGCAGCTTCGTGTGGACGGAAGATCAGAGTTTTCCAAATTGACGTCAAAGTTCTCTGGTTCAGTCTCAAAGGCCTGCTCCTCATCCTGAAAGGTAAATAATAATAATAATAACAACAAGAAAAAAAATCTCTTTTGTTTCAATCCATTCTAAAAAGAATAATTCTAGTTTTGATCACCTCCTGCTTTTGGTGGCCACAGAAGACTCCAGCAAACCTACCACACCACTGTGGCAGCGAGTCAGTTAGCGGGGGGCCACAGTGGGTCAGCAGGGGCTTTAGATATCTGTATCCTCATTAAGTCAAAACCATTGTCAGTATAACCAATACAAATCCTTTTATATACTAAAACTGGGAGTAAAAGGAGCATCTTTACAGGTTGCAATGAAAGAATGTTGGACAATTTGCACAGAAGACTGTCAGCCATCTTGCTTTTATTTCTTATACAATAACTGGCTTTCTGTTTTAGCTGTTGATCGCAAATACCAAATTATGTCACTTCACCATGTTCAAAATAGCTGTAAAATAATCTTTGAGCAATACTTTAGAGATATAAATCACAACTTAAAGCCACTTTCCACATAAATATAGTATATATATATATATATATATATATATATATATATATATATATATATATAAACTTTAGCAATTATTGGACATACACGACTTATATACACTCACATATTGCTTGTAACTTGATTGAAATACCACAAAACACTATCATAAAATCTTAAGTCTCCTCCCTAAATTTTACATAGTTCAGATAGTCTTTGAACAGAAGAACCATTATTGAGGCAGCCACAGAACTGGCCGTTATAGAAGAGAGGCAAACACAAAGCCACTGCTGAAACTAAGCCAGAAGGAGTCCTGTTTAGGGTTTTCCACAAACATGATGAACCCAGCAAACATGTGGAACAGAGTTCACAGGTCAGGTAGGAACAAAACTGAATTGGCCTACATGCAAAACGCTGCACATCCCACTGAACACACCATCAACAGCATGAAGCATGGAGGTGCCAGAGTCATGCTCTGGGGATGCTAAAATGTGGAAGTTTGTCAGACTTTATGGGAAGATGGATGGTGTTACAGTATATACCAAGCATTCCCAGAAGACAACTTGTTACAAGCTGCAAAATAAAAAAAAGTAGGACAGAAGATCACCTTCCACCAGCAGAGGACACTGACTGGATTGTCTAGAATCAGTGGTTCTCAACCAACTGACTGAAAAACAGGCATAGATGCACATTCTTGTTTGGGCATGATTACAGAATGTGCATTTATAAAATCAAGTATAACAGTATAGATATTTTATTTTTCTTTAAAACTGACAGGCACCTTAATATTTTATCCATTTGTCTAGAGCTGCAGGCTGCAGGCTTGTTTAATTTTAACAAGGTTAATTCTCTGAACGGCATGAGACAATAACCTAAAATCAGTCAATGTGAGGTCATCAGTTGGTCCTATGACTATATTTGACATTGACCTCATTTCTTTTTCACTTTGAATCAGCCTGAAAGCTGGTGAGTTCAGCACAGCTGATGCTTTGCATGTTCCCTGTGCCAGACACTTGTCAATACTGAGATTCTTTGTGAACATCAGTGAAATAAGCAAGAATTGTCTAATCCATTAAATAATTTTCCAAATCAGGGTATGAACTGTGATTTATATCTGTGTGGCCAATGCCGTTTAAGCATAAATGTGCCTAAAACATGAAGGTTGATACAATCTAGTTGTATGTATTACTTTATGCTACTTTAACTCCAAAAGCACACTTGTAAAAATGTAGATAACTACACATTGAATAATATAAGCACACTCCAAAAATGTCTGGTCAACATATTTGTACATTTGAATATTTATTCATTTTAATTGATGTCAAAATATCTATTCATCCCTCTATCAAACTGAGTTGTAGCACAAATGAACACTCTTGCCAGGCACTGTGTTTACCCCGTCTTTGAATCACTACTTATTTGCTGTCTCATGGCTCAAACCAGCACATTTCAACAACTTCAAAAAATCCGCATGATGTAATGCTAAAATGATGGACCTCTTTCCAGATACGCTCAGCAGGCCTTTTCTTTTATGAGGTCATTAAGAGCCAATAGCCTCTTTTGCTACAAGACAGAGAGCTCCATATTAGTCATTACCAGCTCTAGGTACTTGTGCTATTTTTAATTTGGATATCTAAAGGGTTCAAATATATTTCATTTCACACAGATGTGCATGCTCTTATCAGCTTCATGGATCTCTGAAATTTAGACAGAGATAAAAAATAAATGGTGTTGGCTTATTTCAGGAAATCAGGTTGATGTGGCTCTTGATTAAAATCAGAAACAAGGCCACAATTATTCTCCAAATGTGTTTTAAGAGCTGCTGCAAAGTAATGCAAAGAGTCATGTATCAGATGGGCACAGGGAATGACTGCAGACAGAAATGATGTGTTAATGTTTCGGAAGGACATCAACATGCGTCTGGTTAATGCGTAATAAAAATTACACCCTGTGATAAGATTCCAAAACCTCCCTAATCAAGGCAGTTAGTGACAGCATATTCCATTAAACACTTGATCCTGGATCCCCTTTATTACAGCTCCTTAAGTGTGACGACACACTCATTAGCTTTCAGCTGTAAAAGTTCTGAGAGTTCTAATTATGAGCCACTTTCCTAGTTCTGCATGTTCCTTGTAAAAAAAAAAAAGAGACAAAGCCCTGCTTCACCTTTGTCATCCTAATGGGATAAAAGCAACAAGTTATACCTCTGTGCAATGAATAAAATAATGTGGGACGTAAAAGTGCACAATTTCCTGACGTAAAAAAAGAAAAAAAAATAATTAAATGAAAGAAGACAATTGTCTTATTTGTCAGCAATGAGTAAAGAGTTAGGATTATAGGCTTCTTTGTGTTCACCAACAGGATTCTTTTATGAGTCTCAAAATTAGGAAAGGAGAGAACAAAAGAGAGTACATGGATTTTGAGGTGGAGCAGTCAGCATGGTGTCCTCCTGTTCCGCGCTACAATATAGCTCAGTGAAGTGTTGTTATTGCTAGAGCTCCTCTCTGGTTCAAGGAGGTGTCGAATTAGATTTGCGTAAAAATGTGCTGAGTGCTTCTGAGCTGGAAGAAGCCGAGCTGCTGTTTCAGCCACTCTTGTCCACGTCTTTCCTCACTGACCTCTCATTAGTCTCGGAAAACGTTTTTCACAAAAATCTGGCCATTTTATAGAGAAATCAAATCAATTTTAGGCAACAATCAGAAGCAAAGAATAAATATCAGATACACAAAGTTTTTTGTGTTCCATTTGCAGCAAGAAGCGAATCAGATTTTTTCAGTCCTGGACTGAAACATATCCTGTTGTTATTTTGTATGTTTGCCATTTTGTTTAAAACTTATAATATACAATAAAACAGGATTTTGTCAGTACTGGAAGAGGCAATCTCAAAAAATACTTCAAACTATGGAAACCTAGCAAGAAAGTATAAAGGACTTGCTCTACAAAAAAAAAAGGAACAAAAACAATAAACAGAACACAAGATTCAAAAATTAGACTCACAAGTGGTCATACTTCCCATTGACCAGAATATAGCACAGTTGGATTTAGTGTCAGCCAAAAAGAGTTTGGGTTGTGTCCAAACTGTCTTGAAAGGGTAATCGATTCCATTGCTTTTCTATAAAGTCTGAAAATGAATCCCCCCTTTTTGTTTATAACCTATATTTTGGACATGCAAGGAACATCTAGTCTGACAAGTTAACTGATCCAAAACAATTTGTTGTTGATTATATCTTTGTTGCATCAGTGCATCTTGGCAATAACACTTACCATTATTCTGTTGGAGAGTGTTGATTTTACCTCAAAAGTACCAGATTTACAAGGAAATCACATTTGAGGGTTAAGCTGCAGAATTGAGTGTGTGGGTTGAGTCTATGAAAACTTGCCCTTGCCATATTCTCTCTGGAAGTACAACATGTCTTGTTTTATTATTGACTAGTTATGGATGCCATTTGTTAGATTGGATTTTTGGAATTGTGAGATAAAATGATATATTGGTGATTTAACAGTTTGCTAAGAAGCCTATGGCATTGCCACTGGTCGTATAATCTCATCTCAGCATCTCTCTCCACTAAGATTGGCTCCAATTGAAGACAAACTTTGTATTTACAGTGAGGGACAAGGTATCCCACACTGTCACACTGCCTTCCACTGTTTGCGATTAGGAAAGATTTTCAGCAGCACAACCTCAAATAATCAACTCTGCTGCTCAACCAACAAATTCATTTTCCTTACAAAGGAAAATAAACAGGCTTTTCGACAGTATCAGACAGTATGAGATTTATTGCCAAGAAGTGCTGTAATAACAAGAAACATATTGAAAAAATACAAGTTCCATTCCTTTACTGCTTCACTGCTATGTAAAAGTGAAAGATGACATAAATCATTACTGATGGTAAGAATGGAAAATGGCTAACATTTAGTTCCATTCAGTCATTGCCAAAGCTTTTACAAATGACACAAAGTTGTGCTATATGTTTGTTTTCTTTTATTCACTCTGACAGGCTTGATTTCAGATGACTGGCCAAATCCTGACTGAGTGACTGTGATCCATTCTTGTCTCAAGTGCTTGGAATTGAGCATAATTTCTGTTTTTGTTTTTATCAAGAGGCTTCTTATGAAAATTTGCACTTATTCTCAATGAATTTAAGATTTAGGGAGTTTCTTTGACACAGGTTCAAACTCTCAGTTCTTTAAAGATTTTTTTTTTATTATCAATTCTGTGTTCTGCCATGGTGCCTAATGGTACTGGAAACTATTTCACTCATCAGTGCCTGCCTAGATGGTTAGAAGGAGACACACTTCCTACATAAAAAGTGTTATTTTACAAAACAGTAAAATACATGGGTTGCATTATTCTGCAGACATTTTTTTTTCTGATTTTTCACTCTTTCCATGTACTTCCTGCAGATCCTATATGCTATCATTGTTGTGCTTCTTGGAAAGGAGTGACCGCTTTGCTGCCTTTTCTTCACAAGTCTGCTGTCCAAAAGAAAAGTGTTCCCACAGTATGGTGTTGCCCCCAACCATGTTTCAATGGGAGAAAGGGTGAAATGCAGTGTTAGTTTTCTACTAAAGATGCAGAAGTGCAGATGCAGCCTTCTGCATGGACAGTGAAGTTCTTAATATTAAACTGTTCCAAGCAGTTTTCTTTCAATGCTAATAGATGTCAACTTTACAAAGAAGGTGACCACTGGTGACAGATAAAATAATTTCAATGACATCTAACCCCCTA